CAAAATAAAGGTGATAGGTCTTTCTTAACCATAGTAGGTTATACTGCGCTTTTGTAATGCAAAGTCACTTCACCACAAACATAGCAGACGTTATCTAGCATGTTCACACAAGTACGAGGCATCTCTGCTCACTTTGGCTAAACAGAAATGTGTCCCTTTGCAAAATTAAACACTGACAAATAAGAGAGCATGACACTGTATGATTTCTAGAGCTGATATAGAGCAATTTGTTCAGCAGAGTGATGTAAGCTTCGTTATGATTGCATCATCCATGACTTCTAGGAATAACATGATGCAATTCATGTATGATGCAATACCAGCTTGAGATTGCATCATTCATTGTTTTGCCTAAAAAGCAAGTACTGTCCAAACCCAGTCATAGATTTATTCATAGATCCAGTCAAAGATGTATTTTAGTCATTTCTGGTTTAAATTGAGATCCCTTCCCTTTATAACTCACGTATCCTCCGCCATTCCCAAGTCAAGGGTCGTATATACTGACCCAATAGCATATCTTGAAAACTAGAGTCAATTAACAATTTTAAGCATCATTTTCGTTCTCAGTAACCCAGAATTAGTAAAGTTTGACTACATTTATTTCAGAAGCATTTTGGCTGTAGAGCAGTGTTATTAGCAATAAAACATAGGGCCCAATCCCCAACAGGTGCATCTCCATAATTGAACTGCGCCAGTCTACATAAGAGTGGTTTTGGTTCAGTCTAGAACAAAAGTTTCCAAATTCTGAATTATGGAGCACTTGCTGATGATCCATGGAGAGCTGGTTCCCTCTTCATATTTCCAAGTGCTAAATTGCATTAAAAGAAGGTACCAACATTTTTTAAAAACCCTTTGCTAATATTACTTGTTCACATATTTAATTGCTGTAGATGCTGCAGAGATATTATGGAATGCAAAGGGGTGGGCGAGAGGTGGTCTGCAAAATTAAGAGTGGGAAAGCAAGTGATCTCTAATACAATACTTGTATTAAAATGTGATCCATACTATAGAAGAAGCTAGGAACCCATGATCCAGAACACATTCCAGTTTCTTGTGCTGTGGCCCTGTCATCTGCTTTTCTACCAGCAAGTGACTACCTATTCCTAAAAAGCTACAGAGTGGTTTCGTCTTTACAAAATATCCACTACGCGCAATATTGTCTGTACTAGATGACTTGCCTAATGGATTAATTAATTAAATCTATACTAAAAATATCCTATAAAGTCAAATTGTGCCATACAACTCATTTAGGTAACTTCTTATTTCCTGGATCTTATCTTTCAGAAAACACACCTGAGAAGAATTTGTCTCCACTACCAGCAGTATCTGAAGAGACATTTTCTCAGATTTTTAAATAATGCGACTAGAATAACCATCTTCATTCTTTGGTAATTATAATTTTAAAAAATCAAAGCTAGTAAATAAATAATTATTTGTATTTGTGCAGTATCTTTCTCCCAATGATCTCCAGTCACTTTACAAAGCTGGATTCCCCACGGGTTCCATGTCACACCCTCCTCACCAGCTCAGTATTCCCCAATCTCCTCCCGCACCAGTGCTTTGTGCTTCACATCCCAAGTGCCCTTTGCCCCACTATGTGCCCTGCATGCTCACTCCCTACCCCCTTTTTGGGTCAAGTCTCCCTAATAGGGACTGTCTTGTCCCATCCCAACAGTACCTTCCTCCGTCTCATTAGGAAAGAGGGCTGGTGAGTGTCCTCTGTCCTCTCATTGTTCCAGGTCCATTGGGAGAGAATTCTTCCTCTCCTTTCCTGTAAGTGTAGACAACAGGAAGGAAGCTGGATTCTTTCCTCTGGATCCACCTGCTGTTTGAATTGGGTGCCACCTCTGCCTTTCAGCTGGTTAGCCCCTAGGGAGAGCGAGAGAAGAATGCTAAGTCTGCCACTGCTGCACACAAAATCAGCAGAAGGGCTGGAACTGGCTTTCCCTTACCTGCCCTGTGCCACAGGCTCAAAGACATTATTGCTCCCTCCTGCTTGGGAGTTTGAGGGAAATGTCCCACTCTTTCCCCCCAAACGAAGCCTCAGTGGTTGCATCTATGATTGAGGCCCACATTTTCAAGAACATCCACCAAGTTTGGGGTGCCAAACTTGAGACTCTAGGTCCACAAAAGGAACTAAGGGTTCATCTACATGGCAAGTTAGCAAGGCAGCAAGAATCTATAGTGCACCTATTTGCCACACAGTCACGTCCAGTGCAGTGAAAGTGTTGGAGTGCAGCATAATGTACTAGACTTTCAAGTAGTAGGAAACCAAGTGCAATCCGGGACTTTCACTTCACTGTAAGTGTCCACATGGGATGTTACTTCACGGCAAGCTGGTGCACTGTAGAGTCACACCATGGCTTGCCGCACAGTAAATTACTATGTAGACAAGCCCTTAGATTCGGCATTGCAATGCTTAAAGTTTAGGCACCCTGTCACATAGCAGAATCCACAGCTCCAAGTTAGGTGCCCAGGCTCCCTATACAATGCATGAAGAGAGTCAGGTGCCTAAGAATAGGATTCACAGAAGCCAGCAGCAGGTGAAGATGGTGGTGCTGTTGTCAGCCCCCCTTATATCTTATAGCCCCACTGTGTAGAGCAGTCATCGGGGATGTGGGAGACCTGGGGTCAAGTCCCTACTCTGCCTGATTTATAGCAGGGACCTGAACCCAGGTGTTCCACCTCCCAGGTGAATGTCATAACCACTGGACTATAGGATATTCCAGGGGAGAGCTCTCCATCTCTCCCGTTGATGCTGTTCCACTTTGTATAAAATGCTTACTATTTTTGGAGCAGGGAGTAGAACCTGGGTCTCCCAGGTGAGTGCCCAAACCACTAGACTATAGAGTCATTGTCTCTCTCTCTCTCGCTCGCTTTAGCCCAATGACTATTTAAGTACTTTATAAGGGACTTTACCAGCAGAAACTTAGGCACCTCAGGGTAAGATGGCAGCTGAGCAGGAGTTTTGAGAATCTAAATTTTGGATTATGGATCTAGCCCTAAGGGCCTGATTTTCAGAGGCACCCACAGCTTTAGTTAAAAATCAGTGGGACATGTGGAGGCCTCTGAAAATCAGGTTAAGATGTTTCAAGATTGGCACCCAAACTGAGGATACTTGACATGTCCATGACATTGTGACCAAACCAACCTTCAACCAACATCTCCTTGATTCTGTTGGCATGTTCCCAGGTGGTTGCCCATCTTTTCCAACTTGCTCCTCAGACCAGTGAAAGTGTGTGTAGATGGTGTATGTGCACTCATCCGGAACATTTTTGTGAAGGGTCTTTTTTTAAAAAAAATTCTGTCAGCTGTTTGACCTATTGAATGTCTGAAATATTAGTTGTCATTCTGGTAGAATCCAGGTGAGACAATCGAAGGTACATGACAAAGGCAAATTATCATACAGCTTTGCAGTCATGCACAATATTATCATCAAAACATGTTTATGTTTATGACTGGGAACCATGTGATAAATTAGAGGGTTATACGATAATCTACACACGAAGGTAAAATTGAACAAGGAGGTTATACATATGTACTTATCACATGCCTGTGACTACATTACCTGCCCACTGATCAATCTCTGTGATTATATTTGACTATTTCAAAACATTGAGCGGCTTAAAACATCTGCCACTTATTTTAAAATCAACCAGCCAAATAAATATTTCCTCCTTCTCTCCCAATATTACCTGTATTGCTGTAATAACTAGAGGCCGCCAATTAAAGAATGCGAGTGAGGCATATATAACAAACAGTCCCTGTTCCAAAGTTCTTACAGTCTAATGTGGAAGAATTCTTCCCTGAGGTTCAAGATGGGCAAAATTCAGTCCTGAGCCAGTGACAGCTTTTTATACATCAAGAGTTACAGTTTAAAAATCCACTAGCCCACACCTTCACAGGGCTAAAAACAGGCACTGTACTATTTGGAAGAGGAAATTCCTTCCTCAGTAGGACTCAGAACTTGAATCTAGCCTTGGATGAGGCTAAGCTGTAAGACTTCAAATTTGTGACATTTTTATATCTAGAAAGAACAATTTTAGGTATTTTACTTTAAATAGTTTTAACCTCTCACTCTGGCCCTGTGGAGCTGAACCCTCTTTAAAGTTGGTAACATTAATTTTTCAGTCATATATATGGGCATATGCAAGATGATGTGGGATAGACATTTTATCACCAGGAGATAAAATGATGCTTAGCATAATTTACTTGTGGTTTTTCCACTTCTGAGTAATGGGATCATCCCAGACTCCTGCTGATTAAACCCTCATACCAGTATGTACCATCAGTATTCCCTATATATTTCATGGTTCCATACTTTATCATAGGGCTTCACAGTCTGTCACATACGCCTGCATATGTGGCATATATGTAATATGATACTGCTCTTCTGCCAACAAGTCTTAGTTACATTATTATCTTCAGAAAAGATGTGTGCATGTTACTAAATATCCTAATTGTTTTTGTGGTTGTTTTGTTTTAGCTGCATCAGTGCATATCTACCAGGAATAGAAGCTGAAAGAAGAAGGTGGGAGGCAGTTATAGATGATTTGCATGAGATTAAAGACACATCTGATGTAAGTTCACAAAGCATTAACGTTTCATAGAATCATTTGGATAGGAAGAGACCTGGAGTTGGTTGTCTAGCCCAGTGCTTAAATAGTAAGTAAGTGGGGGAGAAGGGAGGGAAAGAAGAGAACTGATGTAATGCTATAGCACAGGAATAAGCAGGGGAGTAGATAACAATATGTGACACATGGGGTGGATCCTGCATTATAGCCCCTTAAATTAAGTGTTTTCATCTTCAATTTTTATTTCCTTCAATGCAATATTTTAATCTCTGCAGCATTTGTTCTTAGTCAGATAAAACAAGAAGAGAGTTTTTCTGAAGAGAAGAATTGGAAGTAGGCTTCTTCTGAGAAAGTACTGCTGGAACTCAGCTCCAGAAATGTGCTTCTTACTTTGAGCCTCATGCTGGGAATCTCATGCTTACAAGGGCCTCATGCTGTGAGGTGCTGGGGACTCTCAATGTCCACTGACTTCAGTGACCTCCAGCACCTTGCAGGACTGAGCACTGAGCTAGGCCATTCCCTTGGTAGGATTGACTTTATTATCCCTAAACTCAAGAATTATTGTTTATATATACAAATCTGTTTTCTTTTAGAGCATTGATGCCTGTTTATACACTGCATATACAGACAAGCCAGTAAGTACATTTTGTGAATTTGACCTAGATTGGTCTAAGGGTGATATCCTTATTTCTTCTGAAGTAACCAGCTAAAGGCAATTAATGTTTAATTTGATCAAAGCTTCTGAAACCAAATCATTTGCATTAAAAATAAGTTTCCATTCTTTATTTGTATTAATCAGGGTGACTGTAAGCAGATATGGCTACTGAATCATTGGCTATAGAAGTTTGTCAATTAAAAAGGAAGGACAAAATGATTTTTATCAAAAGGAAGAACTTTCCTTTTTGTCAGAAGAAAACATGGTTCTCCAACATTGTGCACTCTGCTAGAGCATTCTAAAATAGTGTTAAGATCTAAATTGCATAGGCATCCACCTTTCTAATTGAAGGAATGGCAAAGCTAGGGATAACTATCTTACACATTTATTTCAGTTTAGGGGATAAAATGTGTATCACAATCATCAGAGAGGTCATGTAGCCAATCTAATTTTAAAATGATCTCCTCAATGCGGCTTCTAGACTCTCCTAGGAAGAGGGTTCCACAACCTAATAGATGTTACTGTCAGGAAGGTTCTCTTGATAGCCAAAACTTTTAGTTTTTTAAGTGGGAGGCAATATAGTCCCATGGATCAGGCATGGCTTTGGGAATCAGAACACCTGGGTTCTGTTCCTGGCTCTATCACTGATCTTGCTGTGTGACCTGAGGCAATCCATCTCTGTTTCCTCCATCTGTAAAATAGAGATTGTGATACTCCCTTTTTAAAAATTGCTTTGAGATTTTTGGATGGAAATTGCTATCAGAGCTAAGTATCATTAATAATAACTTGATCCCATTATTCTTAATTATACCCCAAAGTATATCCTAATTAATTCCCATCCTATCTTGGTATTTATGTTCTTCATCAAGCCTGTTATGTCCTTACCCACCTTTAAACGTAATTTAACCAAGCTACACATTAACTTTCATGATAGATATTTACAAACATTTGCATGGCAAAACAAATACACAGTAGATCAAAATCAGCTGCTGGTTTGCAAAATTATATACCACATATGCACCTATTTCTTTAATTTTTCTATTGTAAAGCCATTAACATTTTTCATTTTTAGGATGAGTGCGAAGTACAAGTGATGGAATGCTTTTTGTTAGAGCTGAAAGTGATTTCCCATGAATGTGAAATCAGAAAAGGATGTAAAATCAAACAGCACGTGCGGAATGTGCTGGCAAATGTAAAAGCAAATTTACCAAAGAACACAAGTTTACTGAACAGTCCGGTAAGTGCCATCTACAATCATTGGAAAGAGGACAATCAAAAAAAAAGTGCATTTAATGGCTTGAGATAAATTCTGCTGTCAGATACGCATGACAGGGGTGTGAATGGCAGTCATCCACTCACACATTGATTTACACGGACAGAATTTAGCTCTTCTCAGAATAAAGTTTTCTACAATGTTAGCAAAACAAATACTTAAGAGGGTCCATCTACTGTGTGTGCATGTGTAAACTGGTACCCCATGGCCAACATTTTCAAACTGAAGTTCATAGAGAGTGGACCATATTTAGACACCTAAAGATATATCGCCTGGTTTTCAAAGGGATTGAAAACCTGCATCTCCCACTGAAGTCACTGGCAGCTCTACAAGTTCATGTTTAAAAATCAGGCCACTTACATTTCAGTACTTAGGTTCCTTGGCAGCCTCCAGCAGCGCTCCTGTGGCAATTGTCTGCAGTGGGATTTCTTGTAAGAGGAAAGTGAGCAAGATTTGGCTCTTTATCAAAACCAATTCAACTATCCCCAGTTTTAATATCAAACCAATTTTTATTCAAATAATTGTCATTTTTCCATTCTTCTGTCTTTTCCCCCCCCTTTTTTTTTTTTTTTT